CTGATGTTGGTGGGGACCATATCCATGAAACAAGTTTTGGAGGAGAAGGGGCCACTCAATTTCGTACAATGGTGACATGGACGACCACCGGCATTCTGAACGGCACATCTTTTGCCGTGTTCAATTTTATTTTTTATTTTGAAATGACTTTACACTGCATGAAATTCAGCTTTTTGCGGCGGATTAGGAAATTAGTCGCAAATCCTGGCTAGCGGAGGATTTCAAGCCATGATTTGCGACATTAAATTTAGCTTTGTGTATTATTGTTAGTGCTATTAGAGACTCCAACATCAAGTTCAAATTTCTTGATTTTTTTTTTTTTTATCAATTTGAAAATCCATTTGGCTAAATACCTCATCATCCTCTTTTCCTTTTCCTTTGTTATGAAAGGATTACAACAGAAACAATATGCAATTTATTTATATTGTACTAACCAACCATAGTATCTATCAAACCAATTTGGATTGAAACATCTATTTTTTATTCCCGCATAAACAAAAATTGGCTTCTTGCATAATTTGGGGTTTAACCTATAAAGCTGGTCAGCGATCTTGCGGCTGTAATGAAAGTCAACAATTAAGGCATCACAATTCACAAGTGAGTTAGCATCAACCCTATAACAACTCAAACTCTTAACTTTTGAGTTATTACCCACTTTGGCCTAAGAGCATCGCGATTTTGTTATATTGATGTAACTTTCCAATAGGTCACCAATCCCAGATTTACTCTGGGATGAGCACGCTTAACTGCGGAGTTTCTTAATAAAATTCTGACCATTACATCAAAAGATGCATCGATGTTTAAGAGTTTAGCTTCTTTATTTAAGGGATTTCACAATCTCCTGCATTTAAGTAATTAACGTCCTTGTCAGCATATTTATCCTAGAGTCATCCACTAGGAAGATAAGATTCTAGAAGTGGCCCCTATAAGTTCTAGTGGTTATCCCCACAACGTAACACTTTGTTCCATACATGGTTCAAAAGGTGGCTTTCATGGTGTAGTACTTTGTCTTGTTTGACACTTAGTTTTCATATTTTAGCTGTGTATTGCTCTGATACTATTTATAATAGTCCAAACTTTTAACTATTGAGGTTTATCCACTTCTTAAGGGCCTCATAGTTTTGTCATATTGGTGTAATTTCCCAGGAGGTCATCCATCCTAGGATATCTTTGGAATGAGCATGCATAACTGCAGAGTTTCTTAATGAAATTCATACCATTACTCCAAAGACGCATTGTTATTTAAGTGTTTAATTTCTTTTTACTTAAATAGTTCACAATCTCCCCCACTTAAATAATTGAAGTCTTTGTTAGTATCATTATCCCAGAATTATCCACTAGGCAGATAGGATTTTAGAGGTGGCCCCTACAAGTTAAGGAGATGACTCCTGCCACGTAGTACTTTGTCCCATACAAGATTCAAAAGGTGGCTCTCATGACGTAGCACTTTATCTTGCATGACTCTTATTTCCCATCTTCCGACTGATGTGTTACTCTGATACCATTTATAATAGCCCAAACTCTGAACCAATGGATATTGTCCGCTTTGGCCTAAGGGCCTCATGATTTGGTCATGTTGCTGTAACTTCCCAGGAGGTCACCCATCCCAAGATTTCTTCGAGATGAGCACGCTTAACTGCAGAGTTTCTTAATGAAATTCTGACCATTATACCAAAAGGCGCTTCGATGTTTAAGAGTTTAGATTCTTTTTACTAAGGGGTTTCACAATCTCCACTTAAGTAATTGATGTCCTTGTCAGCATCTTTATCGGAGAGTCCTCCACCAGGTAACTAGGATTTTAGTGGTGCCCCCTACAAATTCAAGTGGTGATTCCCGCCATGTAGTACTTTGTCCCATACAGAGTTCTATTGGTGGCTATCATGGCATAACACATTGTCTTTTATGACACTTAGTTCCATCTTCAGCTGATGTATTGTTCTGATACCATATGTAACTACCGAAATTCTTAACTATTGGGATATTGTCCGTTTTGGGCTAAGGGTTTCACGATTTTGTCCTGTTGGTGTAACTTTCCATGAGGTCAACCATCACATCACAGGATTTCTTCATGATGAGTATGCTTAACTGTAAATTTTCTTAATGAAATTCCAATCATTACACCAAAATGCGCCTCGATGTTTAAGAGTTTAGCTTCTATTTACTTAAGGGTTTCACACCATAGTTGCCGACAAGGTTCCTTTTGTTAGATTGGGTCGACTACCTCCTCTGACTAAGTAGACTAGGGACCATGACAACCCAAGATGACGTATCATGTGATTTTGATCGGTCCCATCATCATTGTCCCATCACCCGCTTTTAAGTTTATGGTGACAAATTTCAAATCGTAAATTCCAAAATTCAAAATTAAGTTCAAACGCTAAAATTGGTTATAATTATTGCAACCTATTTAACAACTAGCCTTAATCAAATATTTTCTCTTGTAATAGGGAGGGGTAATTAATCATACGGGCTTGCTTTTACCTATGGGAAACCAAAACTCAAATCATAAAGTCCTCGCAAAAAGAGGACCAAATCTCTATGTGGTGTCTTATCAAAACTCAATTTACCTTCCGAAAATTTACCCTGGAACCTAAATCCATTAAAACTCTCTCCATAAAATAAAAAAGTGGTACGGGGAGGCCTGGACGCGAATTTTTGGAGCCCATGAATACTGTCCTAAAATTCACTTCAGCTTTAGCTTGTTGAGTGCTAAAATCTTTTTATTGGTGATGCCGCGCCTCTAAAAAGCAGTTATTAGTCTTTCCTAACATTTCAAATAATTATTATGATTATAAAAACCCAGTTTTTCCTACATTCTAGCATCCCTTATAATTTATGTTCCCTGATCTGGTGGGCTTAGCTGGTTTAATCCTTTGCATTATACGTCGACGAGAGTTAATTTTTCCATTGTAAGTTCTTGGAAATCAGTTTTAGTTTGAATTAAGCAGAGATAGAAACAGACGGTCCATGAAATTCTTACGAATATAGTCTAAAAGTGTGTGCTGATAAGTTTTAAGATTAGTCAAGGTCTGAAATGAGAGAACGAAGACTTGTGAAATCGTTATGCCTTAATATGCATTAGCATATTCAAATTGTTTTTTGTTGTTTACAAGACTCTTATTTATGCCTAAATATGTGAATTGTATATTTGATTTGTTTATTTATTGTTACATGACTCTTATTTAAAGTGGAAGTACTCATTTTTTATATGGAAGAATTCCATGAAAGAGTGCTACTTTTGTCTTCTTCAGTATCATACACAGGCTTCTTTTTTCTAGGTAATCTTGTAATCTTTCGGAATTTATTGTTGACATGCTAATCTACAGATATGAGTACTATTTTGCCCTACTACGTGATTTCCCTGAACTGCAGTTCACCCTAAACGGAGGCATCACTTGCATCAATCAGGTAAAAATTACATCAGGGTTTGATTTTTCATGTCGTATATCGTGGGAACACTCCTCTAGGGTTTTCACCCATATATTTTCCTTTTGCATCAATTTTCTTTTAATTCAACTCAGCTTTATGTGCCACTTCCTTTTTTTGAAGAACTTCCTTCACTTTTGCCACCTAATTAGCTAATTATGTTATTTTTAGTTTTGTTTTATGGTGTGAAATACTGTTCTTCTGCCATTTAATGCTAATTGCTCTTAGATCATTCATGAAAAACAATCTGCTATATATCATAATCTTACACAGCCCGCAATGATCCTTGGATTGAGATGGGCTTAATGAAAAACCTTTTCTCAACATTGGATGATGTGGGCAATAGCATATATGTATAATCCTTTATTGATAATTGTGCGGAATAATTTGTGGATTGATGGCCTTTTAAGGTTTCTATTTGGTTTTTAAAGAGGCCTTTCAAGGTTCAAGCAATATTGTTTGTTCTTGAAGGTTCAACGGAGCTAGATGTTGTATAATTGGAGAGATGGTATGGTGATTACTGGTCAGTGAGAAAGATTTATGAAACAATAAGTAGATTGATGATAGTTAGAATTATTCCTCTTTCGTGAATGATGACTTCCTCTTCTTATTTCCCTTGTCATGTCTTATAGTTCCTTTTCATTTCCTTTTGTTGGAATTAATTCCACCTTTTCTTGATTGCTCGAGTAGAGAGAAAAAAAAGCTAGGGGAGAGAGAGAGATAGAGAGAGAGAGAGAGAGAGAGAGAGAGAGCTTTGAGAGTATTTTGTATGAATACTTAATTTCTACTTACCATGATAAATTAACTACAAAGGTGGTTTATGGATTTCAAAGAGATCTAAAAATTCCTGCTTCAATTTAAATCTAAACCTAATTTTATGCATATTTTGTTGGCAACTATCTTTTTCATGCATGAAAATAGATTTTTTTTTTATTATTATTTTTTTCATGCATGAAAATAGATAAATTTCACGTAGCTAGTTAATTTCATATGTTTCTTATACTTATTCTTTTTTAAAATGAATCTCAATATTTATTTATTAGATTATTACTAAAATGATGTTGGATGAGCATGGTTTTGCCTCCTCTGTTGGTTTGGTCTATCTATATGTGTTTCTATGATCCATATATCCTTAGTTTGTTTAACATAATCTGTGTTTTGTTAGCTTCTTCTTGTCGCATTCCCCCTGTTCCACCTATAGGCTCAACTAGCTGAATGAGCCAAGCCCATTGTCACAGGCATGTTTGCTGGATCGTGGCTCTCCTTCCCTCTGGTTCATTTGCTCTTGTAATTTAGTATGAAGATGTGGGGAGCCCCCTCCCATCAACTTGATCATGGTTTATGACTGTTTGAACCTTCTTTGGCCTTCATAATTTAGGAAGTTGTCAGCAATAATTAGAATGAAAATATTAAAGTAGATGAGCATGATTATTCGTTAAATTTATGCCTCAACATATGAAGTGGATGACATTAGAATTTGGTTCCACGCTCCAAGGATTCATGTATGAAATATTTAGAGCCTTGGGAGGCCCCAAATATTACACATGAGGGAAATATGCATATTTGTTGATTTTGTGTTTCAACAATAGAGATAGATAACTTAGAGTTTGGTTTTAAGATCTAACGATTCATGTAATGCTACTGTTTGAAACTTTTGGAGGCTCCAAACATCATGCGTGAGAAGGAAGAGATGATTGCTTATTGATTTTGTGCTTCCACAAGCAAGGAGTGAAATGAACCTAGGATTTTGATCATAAGGTTATAAGATTCATGCAACCTAACACATTTAGTTTTGAAGAAACTCAAGTATCATGCATGAAGAGGATGTGCATGAGAAAGAGAACTCCCTATACCTCTATGAATGTTTGGATTCATTTGGAGAAGGGAAATGTTGATTTCCTAATGCTTAGGAGAGTTTTCTAAATCCATTTTTGCATGATTTAACTCATTGGAAGCTTAAGAGAATTGCAAATCTTTTAGGATTTGTTCAATTGCTTAGGACTTCATTACACTTGTCTTTTCAATTTGTAAATCATACAAAAAATAAGCTTAGTTAATTTCTAAGTGTAATGGAGTATTTAGCTATTGGCTTTTGAGCGCCCATGAAACACTCCAAATTAATTTCACAAGCACCTAGAATTAAATGAGCATATTTAGGATATTTGCAAGTTTAGAAAATTTAGTGATCCTAACAAGAGGCCTATAAAGCATTGCTTTTAGTTCATGATAGGATGGGAGGCATACACCTGAGATTTTGGAGGGGACTTCAATCAATTTTGACATGATTTGAGTTATGTATTTGCTTCTACGAACTATATCAATTTTTGTCATAATTTAGTATGTCGAAAGCATGAGGGTGAGTTTCCAATCTCTAGAGATTATGCATGTTAGAGGAAGGGATTATTTGTTAGGACCTCTACGAGCTTTGCAAAATATCTGAACTGAATTTGATTAACTCTACTTGCTTTAATACTTACAAAGTGAAGCTTTGAAGGTTCATGTAAGTACTATAACAAGTTACCAACTTTCCCAAGTTAGTCACATGCGTTTCGAACATTTAAACAAACTATAGCCTATCCACAACCTCTAGCAAATGCAAACTCCTAATGTCAACATCAATTTTGCCATGATATACGGTTTTAGGAAACAAAAATGCAACAAGTGACTCTTACATTTGGATCCTACATATTGACATTCAATTTGAGATTAAATGACAATGTCTAACTTAAGGCATGATCATAGGCGACGGTTAGGGAAGCAAAATGAATGCTAATACATGCATTTGGGGGTTGTTGGACACAAATCCGGCCACCCTATGCCTGTCAGCATGCCTCTTTGACTCTCACAAGAGAGAAAACGAGCGGCCGCTGTTTTGCAGAGAGGACAACGAATGGAAGGTTTTGGGGAAACAAAAATCAAAGTTTCTAAAGGACCTATGGCTTTGGAAGCGTCGACCATACAACCATTGGCTTTGGGACCTAGGTTTTGTTAAGTTTCAAGGGTTTTACCTCACCAGGTTGTCATGGCGCAAATCACAATGCACTTGCCTTGTCAAAAGGCAAGAAAATGAAGGAATGGAGGAGAAAACTGCTGCTCAAGGTTTCCAAGCAGCTGTCTTAACCGTCACTAAGCTTCCGGATGCCGATTTGGGCGGCAAGGAGTCGTCGAAGTTGAGGAAGGAGGAAGAAGAACTCTCCTACAACAGTTAAACAACCTTTAATCACTTCACCAACCTCTCTATCCTCTTTATTTTGTTCAACAAGAAGAAAGAAACAGCCCTATGCTTCTTTGTCTAGGAAGAAGGCAACAACAAGCATAGGCCGCAAGCATATAGGACCCCTGTTTGATCCTTTGGCCCTACTCAAACACACGAACAGGGCGATCAAACTCGTTTCCTCCTCTTCTCTGCTGGATCGGACACACAGAAGAGTCAAACGGTAGGACCGCACGAATCAGAGAAAAAAGGAAACGAAAGAAGCTTTTTTCTCCTGTCTCTGGGTTGGACATGCAGAACAGACGAAGTCAAGTGGCGTCCTCGTCCATCTCCCGCCTCTTTATACGTCAAACGAGGCCTGCTCGCTGATCTTTTGTATTGTTTGCATCTTGCTTGGTAATCATCAAGAAACTCTTAACTCTTCAAATTATGCACAAAACCCTAATCACATGCATGCATGAAAGCCTTCTATGAGAAGAAAAATCTTGGAACCTTAATTTCATCAAATCCTACATGTAATTCCCAAAACTATGTTTGAAAAGCCAAACTATCATGAAACCGTAGGGATCACATAAAAATCCACATCCTATTGGTTTAGTAAGTCTTTTGCATCATAATTCTCGGAGCAATAGTTTCACTATAAGATTCAATATCATGGGTAATCTAAGTTAAAGATTTTCTATCTATTCCACTAAAACCTATAAAAGGCTCGAAGAGAAGATGATAAGACTAAAGATGATGCTTTCTTATTTATTTATGCTTGCATCCTTTCAATATTCTTATTTATAGAGAGAGCAATACCTTTAGATGTTAAATTCCTCATATCATGTAAAAGCCCAACAAGATGAGTATCCATGATAACTTTAGTGCTTGTACCCAAGAGGACACAGAGTTGACCTAATGAATACCAAGGGGGACCATTAATGCACTGAAGTAGCTAGATGTGATTTGATACTGGAAAATGCAATTGTTAATATGGACGAAGAGATGAAGAGACTAAAAGACATTGCAGTAAGTACAACTTAGCAAAATAAGGAGATGATAATGGTCAATCAAGGCCAAAAAGATATTATTATTAAAAGTCCTTTATTGTATGTGCAATTATCCTTTACATAAAGACTAGTGTTGCTTCTTATGTGGGTGTTAAATCACTGTTGTGATCTAATTGATGGATGGGGGCTCTCCTAAGATGCTTAGAAGAGTAAGGCTATATTTGATTTATTTTATTTTATTTTTTGAGTAAGGCTATATTTGATGCAGTTTACATTTGAGTGGAATTAGGGTTGGGAAGAAGATAGTAGTCGATCAACCCAATTCCAACAAACAACCAGGATATAGAGCCGTAGGTTCTAACCTATATAATTTTCTCTCCAAAAGTCCAAATGATATGCAAGAAAAATTAAATTGAAGGTTAGGAAGTCTAGTTATGATCCGAAGAATTTTGTGATTTTTGGTGGAGGATTTATAATTTTTCATAATTTTTTTGTCATGACCCGACTCGAAAGCTCAAGTTAATGAGGCGAGAACAGACGGTCAGTCAGTTATTACATCTCTTTCAATAATATTAATTACTCAAAAGACTAATGTCCAAACTATAACTAAAGAGGCATTAAAATTAATTTTTCAATTTGAACATATAATAAACTAGTTTTTACCTATTTTAATGTGATCGTTTTCTTCTGTGCTGGAACTTTTCTCTTTCATTCATTTAATCTATAAGAGATTTATATGACATTTCAATTTAATAATTTGATTTTTTTTCATAATA